GTACTTCTGAAGTATATAGAAAGATCATGGGAGCAGAGGTAAAATTATAAGACATGCATAATTACATCATCACATAAATGTCATGACTTATATATTTGAATCAAATGCCAGGATGCAAATATGTAATAGCATTTGCACAGTAATGTCATTCATCATTTTGGAATCAGCAAAAATTGCTACTGATGCCTTTCAGTATTGCTTTATTAATCACTAATATAAATTCTAATTTTTCACTCTATCCACAAGCATTTATTTAGAAGTAGTCCATTTACAATTCTAATGGATTCATCTACAAATCAAAAACTTTTCATAAAATGTATTGGGGAGCCACCTATATAAGGTAAATGATCTTTGACATATATTCTAAATCAGCACAGCTTGTATGGTGAATTACATCCTGCAGTACTGATAATAATGTTTAAAGTACTCAGAGTTCTTATACTGCAGAACTCAAGAGAGAACAGTAAAATTTGAAGAAAGAAGTAAAGAAAAAAAATATGATAGAATAGAAAATGTAAATACATTGCTAATTTATTTATTTTGTAACAAATCCCAAGGCTATCTCTATGAAATAATGGGGGTTTTAATAGCATCTAGAAAGAAGCTTTAATAGCATCTAGCAAATTTTTTCTGTGTTAACTTTACATGAAACAGAACCTACAATTTATATTACTTTGTATATACCAAAAGGCAGTATATAATTTCATTATGCACCATCATGATTGTTTTCAGGATATTAAATGGAGTGAAGAATCATTTGTACCAGAAGCTTAGAAAGACAGTTCCAAGAATCTTATTTGGGTATGCCTAGGAAAGCACCAGACTAGCAGTCTTTCCTCACAAATTCAGCCATGACAAATCTACTCTTTCAAAATAAAACTTTTTATTTTTTTTTCATTTGCAGTTAATGTTGAATTGGCTTTCATCCTTTTACTCTCTACATTTTTTTTTCTTTTTATGACCCTTTAATTACTTTTATTGGGATGAGCTCAGGATGACTGAATGGAGCTGAGCGTTTACTGACCGATGCCCTTCCTAAATTCCTACTCAGAGTTCACAGGAGATATTTTCTCTTTATGCCCTGATAAAGAAACATCTGTCACTGCTTAGTATTGAACTCTCAGCCTTCTGAGTGGAATGCAAGAATCTTCACTTCTAGGCCACCACACCATTCACTTTCTACATGCCAAGACCTTTTATAATAGGAAGAGCTGCATACCTATACAGTAGACCATTCTATTCTCCATGTTCCCTTCTTTGTACATAGCTATAATGAAAATAATACGTTTGTGCAGTATTTCAGATTACAGGGAGTCCTTGCTTAATGACTGTTCAAAGTCATTAAGAATGGTTTTGCAGCTGTAAAGCATTTCCGACTGCCTTAGAATATTGCACTGCCTTATGTGATGCATCTTAGGTGCTTGGCAACCAGCTTGTAATTATAACTCGTTACAGCATGACTATAACTTATTATTTTATTTATTTATTTGCTATTTTAGAGCAGAAAAAATACCCATTGAATATGCTGGATTCACTTAATGCCTCTATGGTTTGCTAAGCAACCATGTAGTTCACTTAGAATGATTCACTTCACAACCATCATAAAAACGATCCTTAAATAAGTTCTAACCCTAGTCAATTCTAAGGAGGGAGCTATTCCTTATTTATTTGGAAATAGGTTCAGTGTATGTGTAAAGAGGGTTCTTTTCTTGTCCTTCATCTCAGGCAGCCAAAACATCAAAATAGCAAGTTTGGCTATTGTAAAACAAAAAGAGTGTCTTGAGTAAAAGAAGTGCATGCAATTGCTAATTGAGTTTCAATGACATCTGTCAATCCCTTTTAATCTATTTTATTTTTATTCTGCCTTTCTTTCTTTTCATGTAACTCAAGGTGGCAAACGTAATACTGCTTCCTCCTTCTATTTGTAACAGTTTAGGAATATTATTATTTCACTACTTCTTCACCTTTAAAGGCTGCTCTAAATTCCCCATCCCTTCAGAAAGTGGAATAGGAAATATCACTAACCATATCTCATTCCCTTCCTTGACAGGGTAATTGGTTTGATGGATAAGGGGAATGCAATATATATAATGTGACTTTGGCAAGGCCTTTGACAATTCCAGATGGCATTATCAAAAAGTAATTGGAGAACTGTGAGCTGGCAGATGGCTACAGCAAGGTAACAAATTCCATGGGGGTAGTTGTGCTACAAAACCAACAAAGACTGTTATGGCAACTTAGATATTAACTATTTATTGGAGGATAACTTAGATCTTAGAGCCCTCTTCATCAGATAATCAAAGCAATTTCTTCCTAATTAGAATACCCAATTATCTGTATTATAAAATAGAAATAAATCTTCATAATATCATCATACAAGGAAATGCCTAAATTGAATAGAATGAACATTTTGATAAATTCAAGTTTCTCAAAAGTCTTCCTTGAAAAATTATTTATTTATAGTAGTTTGAGATCATTGCAAGATATAGTAGACAGAAATAGCTTGTGATGGTTGACTGTCAGTGTTTGATCTGTGTCAATTTATTTTCCTGCTTACAGACAGCCTATTTATTTTGTACAAATAAAAATCAGAATTGTTGACAAGTGAAGGAAGCAATTAAATTCTGGATGGATATAGTTATTACATTTGCAAAAATTGTATGTTATGAATTTTGTATGAATTTTATAAATATATAAAATTCAATGTTTTCTTGCAGAACCTGTGGCATCTTCTTTACTGCTAGCTAGTTGTTTTGAAGGTGGCATTAGCCAAGTGAGGCAGAATAAAACAGAGGTGTATGGCTCTGCTTCATATAAACCTGTAACTGTATCTATTTTTTTGTTTAAATTAGTTACATCCTCAGAGAAAAATTGGTTGCTTTGGTTTTTCACAGATTCCTTTCTCAGCCACATATCTTTCCTAGAAATATTTTCTCCTGTGACTGCAGGGTTTAAGAGAAAGGAAGCACTTGCCTTTAGCATCTAATGCTAGAGAACAAAAATGATTGTGTGAACTACGTATACATAATGTATAGTTTGAAGGACTGGAAGTTATTGGGTTTTTTAATATTGATTCCTATGTTTTTATTATTTAAATATATATATTTTAAAAAAAATATATCTCCCATTAAAAACAAAATTGGATAATTAATTATTGTCTCATTAATTTGCTTAAAATAATTAAAGTATCTTTCAAAGTGTATTTTCAAAGTATTTTCCGTAAGCTATCTGTATTGTAAAGTATATTTTCATATTGTGAAATGAGTTCATCTGTGTATTTAAATATTTACATTTTGACGTTCTGAGATAAATTCAAAGGAGTTTCAAATATTTTAGGAAATGGAATTTGTACAAATTGCAAATAGTGTAAATAAATGTGGATCTAGGTATTTATGCATCTATGCATGCATGTGTGTAGTGTTATATTAATAAAATGATTTCAATCATGTGTGATACAGAATACATGTTGCAACATGGATACTTCACAAAAACATGATCATGTTACAAATGTTGTATTTAAAATATTTCATAATTTGTGCTAAAATGCAACAGGTTGGGTTATATTCAATAGTAGTATGTGGAAAAGTTCTGTTAAATGCCAACTTGTATTTCTTTTTACAATGAATATTTTAGGCTAAAATAAATAATATTAAGTAAATTTCAGGAAAAGCAAATATGAAAGAGCAATGTTGAGAAGCTTTATCTTTGTTATATCCTAAGAGATCACTATGGAAATATGTAACGGAACTTGTAAGCCTGAATATGTTGCTGACTAGTTCCTATTATTCTTGGCCATTGGCCATGCTAGTTATGGCAGGTGGGCAATGGCATTAGAAAAGCTACAGGCTCCATACCCTTATTCCAACGTTTTCTCCATTTTTCATAAATGTTTACAGAGCTTTTCTTTATTTTCATTCTCAGTGCTTTCCTATGCATATTTTCCTTATACCTGTTCTATTAAGCATTTATACTGTTTAACTAAATTTAACTGATACCTTTTTGACAGTTGCAGCCTTGAGTTAGGAAGTGTGGCAGTTGACTATAAACAGGGTATCTTCATTTCATTTGGCAAACATTCTATATTAACTTAGCTAGTTCTTATTTTGCTCTGTGTATATTCTATGTAATGGTTACTTACATAGTAAATATAAAAATCAAATGTAATCATGTATGTATAGAAGATATCAGTATGAAATCCACATTTTTAGATCAAGCTCTGTGGAAATTTTGAGTCCTTTATAACAACTCCTACATTAGTTGTTTTCATATGCAGTTGCTGATACATAAATTACCATTATGAACAATTATAATCACCCCATTATTTGAAAAATGTCCTGAAGAGGCAGTAGCTCTTAAGTTTCATTATAAAATCTTTCTACAGGATAATATTTAATATGTTTATGGTCACTGAAATAAGAAACACTGTGATATGAACCATTCCACACTAGAGACATTGGGTTCCATTCAACACATTTCTAAGTGAATCCAATTTTAAGAATCCATTTATTAGGATGGTGCATCCACTTCCAACAAAATCTTTGGTGCATACCAGCTAGGAATATAGCAACTTATCTGCAACTTTTTAAAGAAGATTCATTTTTCCCCAGAATCATGTGAGAGTCACCAATCCTAGGAAAAGACATAGTGATTTTAAAGAAGAATATATAGATTTGATAGAAGCTAACCCAAAGTACTAAGATTTACTAATGCAGAGCAGTGGGGTCAAAAACATTCAGAGAATATTGTGAACCCTGAAGTGAAAGAGCCCATCTTTTGAACATATGTTGACGATACACATGTGTACAAAGAGGTGGGGCTTTTATCACATGCTCCCAATCATCATCTTGACTTTTATGCACCATGATTCTAGCACCACTAATTTAGTTTTGCAAAGAGGGATCCATTGGTCAAATCATGTAGCATCATTCCAAATTATCTCTTTATGATGGTTTAAATTCACTGCATTATCTTTAACCTGGAGTTATCCTTTTCCTTTTCAGCACCCTCCTTGATAGGTATGGTCAGGAAGGACTGGGCTTCTCAAAACAGCATTGCCCTCTCATGGCAAGAGCCTGCTTTTCCTAATGGAGTCATTCTGGACTACGAGATCAAGTACTATGAGAAAGTAGGTTTTGACTACAATAAAATAAAACCCTTGAATTAGCCTCATATTCTAACATTTCCCCCTTTTGTACTCAGTTTATAGTATAGCCTGTAGGTGTTTATTTTTATGCCAAACAATTGGCATTTTAATTTACAGGGCCACTTTCTGGACAGCTGATACTTGCAGGTCTTTTTTTTTTTTCTCATTTTAGATTATGTTCATTAAAAAATTGATTCTTACTTTAGTTTGGCTGTGGGTCTGCTCAGTGGTGACCTCAGTTTATGGCAAAAACTTTCAACTATACTTCATCACATACAAAATATCACACACTTGGAAAGAATAAATAGCATCTTAACTACTGAAAACTAGTAATGGGAAATTAATTATTAGTTCTCTGTGCAACTTGTTATCAGTCAGTGACATTTCTGATTTTAATACGTCACATTTGGTTGCTTTTCAATCCCAATGTTGAAGAAGAGACACATCAATATATATACATATCAGTTTTCCTAAACTATCTTGGCATTACATCTTCCAGAATGTCAGCAAACGGCCGTGTTGATTGTATATGCTGGATATTGTATGAGGCGCTAGCTTGTAGGAAGTTTCTGTAAAACAAATTTGAGTTTTGCAGTTCTTTTATTGTTTTGAATAAATGCTAATTTTTAATTTGAATCTAATAATAGATCACATAAATTATATAGAGATTAATTATGTGTTCATGATGCAATCAGTATTTTTTTTAAAAAATACCAGAAATTATACACCAGCATATATACAAATATAGAAATACAGCAATGTATTATATTAGACTGATTAGATTGATTGATTTTTTAAAAAATTTTGAGGTGCATACTCCAAAAAGTTTCTTGGTTGGTTACAGTTTTAAAAAAGTACATAATATAAAATAAAACCTAAAAACACAAAACATTTTAAAATGAACTTTAATACACAATGGAAATATATTTTCCCATGCCTTCTTCCAACCTTCAATCCTCTGACACCCCCTATTTGTCCTCTGTTTTGCAGAGTTTGGGCAGAGTTTCTAAACTTGGTGTGGTTAAGGATCTACTACAAGAAAATATGATATTCACTATTTTTGGGTTCGTCTTTCTCAGCTATCCCTCTTTATAATCTCATATTGCTTAGGAGTGTCTCCCATCCCACAATGGAGTTGCTGGAATAGAAGTTTTCATTCCATGAACTCATTTTAACTCAAAACCATTTTGAAACAAAATCACAGTATATACTGCATCTAAATATTCTGCAGGCTTTGCTAATGATTTTGAAGTGTCCTTTGTCTCCACTTTTGTTAGAACAGTTCAGTTAACAGCCTATCATTTTGTATTTCTTCTGAGCAATTATTAGTGTTATAATTTCTGGCGGAATACAGGTGCTCATAAACGTTTGTAAACTATAGTAATTATTTTGTTCAATTGACAACATTTTGAAGGAGATAGGTAGTCTAGACACACCAAATATCAATCAATCAGTCAGTCAATCTTATATTTGCAGTGACCTTGTATAAACAAGACATATCTTAATCAATGACTTAAAATGAAAAGATTTCTGGATAGAAGTACCTTGCTTTTTATCAGTGGCAAGTATCATGTCCTTTCAAGCATAATCAATCAATAATGAAATAATGTCAGACATACTGTTGTGTAAATATAACTTCCATTACTTTAAACTCATGAATTCATAATGCAATTTATTACACAAGCAAAATCTATACATGCTAATATGAGCTACATGCATAAATGTATGTAGATTTCTTTTTTAAAAAAATCTATAATTCTTTATTATGCTTAAAGAAAAGTCTGAACAAACAATATGTAGTCAGATGCTTGGCTATGTATAGCAATGTACAAAAAGCAAATATATTAATCATTTGTGAAATACTATTTGGTCTGGAACCTTAGTTCAACATACTTTTGTAGACTTAATTATGCGAATAGAAAATAGTGAAGACGACAAAATAATGATGTAGCATATAATATTAAAAAGTTATAAAAGAAAAGTTGCTTCTGCTAAGAATATAGAGATGGAAGAATATATACAAAATTAGATTTATTTGTCTCACATGAATAATAATGGGTGTTAAAAAATAATAAATGAAGGACAAAGAGATATAACTTCTCGCCTTGGTTTTTCATTTCAAGCCTTTTCATATTATTAAAAAAATGTAGTCATGAATATCTACCCACAGCGCAACTTCATAGTGCAACTAAGCCCAATTAACAAACTATAATGCCATAATCATTGTAGACCTTACCAATTAGTATAAATGTAGAAGAGATGGATGTATCCATTTCTGCCACATTGTGTATAGTATGTTTATTATTACTGAATGTAATATTGTGTTCTTCTGATATGTCAGACTAGAAAACCAGACCTTTGAGGAGCAAAATTACCTAATTAAAGAGTAATAACCATAGTTGTGTCATATATACAGTATTTTTTTAAAAAAAATTTGTGGAGAAAATCACAAATGACTTAAAATTACACTGTATATTGTTGCCCCCTACCCTCATCTCAGCCAGTGTAGAGGACAGATTAGAATTGCAATTCTAAGAGACCTAATGGTGTACACCTAGGTTCCAGAGAATTTTTTGTGGTTTTGCCTACAATTTGTTGGGCAGTTGTGTGTTGCATCTGGAAGTTATCACATATAAAGGCATTCTAGAAAAGGGATTATATTAAATCTTCTCTAAATCACAAAAAAAAGTAGGGCATTGTATTCTGCCAAGTGAACGTTATTGTGGGGCAGACATTGTATTGTAAAGATATTTGTGGATGGTATGAAGAGTTCCTACAAGAACAAAATAGTGATAAAGAGATAAATATGCTCTAGTGTAGCCTGAATTGAGTATTTTCTGTTTATTTCAACCATGGTTTTTTAAAACCTGGTATAAATAAAGTGAACTACACAAGAAACTATTTGTTTTTTCTAAGATGAGGCAAGCTGAACAAAGGACACACACTGTTGTAATATGTTTACACTATGCAGAAACATTGTTTGGATTGCTAATGTACAGCATTGATAATTGTTCCAATAGGATGGTCCAACAGAATGGGTAGATAGATAAGTAGCTAGACAATATCAGTGAAGCATATGAAATTAAATGTACAAGTTCTTTTTCCCCCCCCAAGCTCTTCAGTTATTTTTAATATGGAAATTCATGAATCAGCTTATGTATGAAACTATAGATATCTGAAATTTGGACATACTGTATCAGAGATAGCTGAAATAAATATTTACATCACTTTCAGTCACCCAGTTCTGCATTACCTTTAACTTTGTTAAGTAAAAGTACGGTACATGTTCACTCTTAACTGAGTGGATTGATGGTGTTCTCTTTCAGTGAGACATGTTTCTCACTGACATCGCATTGATGTCCAATGGACCTGCTTTCATTTTGTTTAAATGTAGAAATGAGGCTCAGAGTTATGTTCTATTTATTCTATTCCCCTGCACAGCAACTAAATCAGCCCTTATCATTATCTAGAATGAACTACGATAATCAAAGTTCTGTCATGTTGAAATAAGTCAATATCCACCTATTATTCATTGAGATGCCTTTTTCAAAAATAATTAAATTTAAAATAAGTCATGGATTTGGATTTGGATTTGAATTTGAAGATGAGATTTGTACATTTTAGAAATTACATGTTCATCATTAGCACACAATTGTAGTTCAGAATCTGTCTTACTTTGCTCCATACCATAACTATTTTTATCTGTTTTGAATCTTTCTGATAACTGTAATTGAGAAAACCATTGACAATTATATCTCTCTGCATTAGTAATTAATCTGTTGATTTAATTTTATACTGCCCTTGGTGGTTTGTAGAATAACGTGTAACATTAAACTATAGTGTAACATTATGTCCAACTCAAGCTCTTAGAAAGTAACAAAATATGGTAGATAAAAAGACTCAGTTTCACCAACTGAGCAGAAAATGATAAATATGTCTTAATTCTTCTTTTGGCAGCTCTCATTGCTTTTCCACTCTACGAAGGATTGGATTCCTAATTTACTTTTAAATAAAATAATACCCTTTAATGTGTCTTTTATCCCAGAGGAGGTGAAACTTCCTGTAGCTCTTTTACCCCAAGGTAATACAATTTATAGAAATACTGGGGAAGCTTTCTAATTTTAGAAGCCATTATCTCCAGTCATTGAACTATGGGGATATTCAATAAATCTATAGTCAAAGATAATTTACTGTGGAAAAACATAATTGTAGTATCTTACAGAGGGGATTTCAAGTCCTACTGCCATATAAATAAATGTTTGTTTATAACCTGTTTAATTCAGACAGCTAGGCTTAAACCCATTGGGAAAAAATTCACATCAGATTTATAAAATGCAGAGATTACCTATATAATTAATGTGAAAGATCTTAAAACAATACTTGCAGTGTTTTGAGCATTTTACAGAAACTGTTTGTCATTATCTTCAGGATTGCTTTATCTCCTTTTGTTCATTTCACTGCTCTGCCGCATTGGGAATTGGGATTAATGACATCACTTCTATTATTTGGGAGCAATTTCATAAACATGCACGACTTAGTATTCGACATATTGATTCCAAAGTTTTCATGTAGGAAAATTGGCATTAATGGAGTGATATATATACAGCTGAAAAGGAGCAATCAATATCTGAGCCATTTTAGTATTTTACAGGGTATATTTCTCCCTCAGCTATTTCCATTTCAGCTATACTAATTTCTTCTAAATCTGTACCTTTCTGTACTATTGAACCTTGTAAGACCTTATAATCCTTTCCAAACTCCCTTAAAATTAAAATGTAAACTTTAATATATCTTTTTAAATTTTTTTATTATGATAATCACTTGTTCTATTAATTATGGTAAGCTAGAAGTACCACCTGCAGTCTATTTTGTTTCCATTCTGATTTATGTTCATTTTGCCTTTTTTCCTCTTTCTTCTTCCTGGTATATAATTCTGTTATAATATTATTAAACTGCAATTGACCCTACTCAATTATATGTAT